CCTTGAGGTTTCCCACTTGCTGCCAAGGAAACATCAGCAACGCAAACTTCAGGAATGCCAGAATGTCGCCCGCGATCACCCATTCCGCCGCCCTCAGTAAAGCGCCTTCAAAAAACTGCAACCTGCGCTCATGCCCCGGTATTCTACCTGCAGGCGATACCAATGACAACATGTGGCTGTGGGTCAAAAATAGATACCCAAAATGGAACCTTGATAAAAGGAAACATGGACTAAAATTTGCGGTCCCCTAGTGGTTTAATTTTGACCCACACCCATGTGCCATTTCCACATTGCGCGAAACTCAGACGCCGGCTTGTCCCCCACCATCAGCTTCCAGGACTTCTTCAATGCCATGAACAGCATCACCTGAAAATCGGGGGGAAGCGTTCCCTTTCGCTCCCTTCGCATTTGTTGTGTCCCACGCTAGGTCCTCCAGTAGAGAGGTTAGAATAAGGGTACCAACTTTCTTCTGTAGTCTATTTCAGTAGGGGAACCCTCCCCCAAAAAAAGGGGAGAGAAGGGCGCTACTAGAAGACCTAGCACAGAAGTGGCAATGAAGCGGATGCGACAGGGCGCATCCGCAACGTGGTTCAAGATCTCTCACTCATCTGACACATGCATCAGGCACCAAGTCTCAAATGTACGAGACGAGTTTCACTGCCGAGGGAAATTATCCCCACTTCTGTGATTTAAGGAAATCTCCAAATATATATATATATATATATATATTATTATATGTATATATATATGGGGGTTGTCTTTGGGAAGCCCTCTTGGTTTAAAGGGACACTAAAAGGAAACCTGTGATTTTGAAGGTCCCCTGTTGTTGGTATCGCAGTGGTCGCTTTCCTGCTGCATCCTGCTGCCGCGCAACTGTGCAGAAAAGGGCAATGTTGCCACTGAGCAGTTGCCAGGTGCTGACTTGCAAGTCCTCGCGAATCGATCCCTTCCGCCGTTCCGGGCGGAAGGGATCGAAGAAGATGGGTTACCTTTCGGAGGGACCCCGCGCCAAGGCACCTACTTTTAAGGAGGGACCAAACGAGTTTTCACAAAAGGTGATGAAAAAGTGCTCGCCGAACCTTTTTTTTTACGCACAATCGAATTGTGAGCCCCGAGCCCATGTTCCCAGACTAGGTCTCGAAGAAATCCGCTGGCACCGCACGGCATGCGACTGTCAGTCCTTGTTGGGTTGATTCACCTTAGTCGGCTGAAATGATGGCGGGGCACTTGGGCTGAAATGATGGTGGGGCACTTGGGCTGAAATGATGGTGGGGCACTTGGGCTGAAATGATGGCGGGGAACTTGGAACTAAATAACTCGACACAGGGCCAGTCACAGCTGCCAGAAAAACAATGGCGAGCTGGGTGAGTCGCTCGCAAAGGCCCAACTCGACACCCAATCATCTCACCTTCATGGGGTAGAACGCTGGCTTTGGCAAAAGGAAAATCCGGAGGGCCCGTAGCGAAGTGAGCAATCACCCGCCATCAGCACAGTCTGGATCCCCTCTACATTCAGGGGCAGGGGGGTGGGGGGTCCCCTAATCCCATTTATCTCGTCTTCCCTAGAAAGGGAAAATGGAACCATAAATGGAATTCCAGGGGTCACCCCCCTCCCCCCATTCCATTTCTAAGGGTCTGGGGACCAGTCTGGTCACGACCTTTGGGCGAGCCCGGCTTTGTGGCCGCCCGTTCACAGGTCGCGCCGAAACCGAAGCGCGACGCATCCTGCGCCGAGGCGCCATGTAGAAGAGCAGCATGGCGCAGAGCAGCGTCCCCACCAGGGCCAAGGTGATGCCCGTGTGCGCTGCTGCGGCCTCCGACTTCAAGCCCCGCAGGAAGGCCTTGAGGTCAAGACCCAGTTTTCCCGGTAACGCTGTACCCTGCTTGGGCCGCAAACAGTGGGAAACATTGGAAGTGCTTGAACCTTTCAAAACGCTCGAAGTGTTCAAACCGCTCGAAACCCTCGAAAAGTTCAAAACCGTCGAAGCGTTCGAAAAGTTAGGAACGGTCGAAAGTCAAACAAGCAACTTCTCGCATTGACACGTTGGGCATCTTTGACGTATTTGATACGTTTGTGCGGCTCCCAGGGTGTGTTGTCAGACACGTTGTGTCCACTAATATGTTTGATGGTTCCCTGTAGAAGTCACAGGCAACGTCTTGCACGCCTGTTTCCATAGGCATATCGCCCAGGCCTCATGCTGCCTGATGCTGCCTGACATAAGAAGCAAAGAAGGTCAAACATGGCGTCAGCCGGCCAGACGTATTGCATTTAGAAATTCACAAACGTCGCATCTCCCTTCCACCTGAGGAAAAGTGACATTGCAGCTAAGGGCCAGGCAACTCTTTGTCGGAACCCTTGTGAAACCGTGAGTTATTGCTGGTGGGAAGGGGTTTGATGCAAGTTTATTAGTGGTGGACACGTTTTGCGCTTTGGTGAGACTCCTTGGCACACAAAAGGCTCTTGCGAGCGAAAGCTCACTTGGGTTGAACAACAAGCAGGTGAGTTTCAGTCGCGAAACGGTTTCCAAACCAACCTCAGCAGCACCTAGCTTTTGTTGGGCAGGAAGGAAACACATGGGTTTCTTGTTCATGATGGGTTCCGAGACCCCCAACAACTCAGGGCGCATGGATTGAGAACGCGCGAACTCACGACGCCTGCGTAACTCCTAGCTCTTTAATTCTTGAGCCACACCCATGGCAACGTTCGGGTTGTCGGTTGCCCCTGCTTCGGGGTATTCAACATGTCGACGTGAGTGCACATGGCGAGGCATCATGGAGGAGGCTATATCAACAACATGTGGCAGAACTTGTGAGCAGAAGAAACAGGCCAGGGCCAGTGTGAGCAGCCAAAACAAGCCAGGGCCAATTTTAGCAGCCGAAACGGGCGCAGTCAACCTCGAGCTTTGATGCGGAGAATATGGAACTCCCAAACCGAGCTTGTTGCAGCTCAGATCTGCCAGAATCTGGTGCCTAGTGCAGGCTAGGCGCATGTACATAGTCCGTGTTGTTTGTGAGGATTCGAACCTTGGTAAACGGCTCGCATCGCGCAATTTGACCCTTTGCAGGATGTGACATTCGCCCCTGTTACGGCGACAATGCCCTTGTCCGAATTGGATGATGGTGGCTGCACCTTTGTCCACGCACCCTTGATCCGAACAGCATCCCGGCCTTGCAAGCAGTGAAAGCATATGCAAGCATCACCCGTCACAGGGGCTTCCGACAGCCTTGAACTTTCGGAGGCGCCCCAAAAGGGAAGACTTCACCACGCAGCATCTTCCATGTGCGTTTTCGCCCCTGGGAAAAATAAAATATGTCGTAGGGATAGATTCCCTTTTAAACCAAGAAGGGAAAATGAACAAATATTCGTTTCAGCTGAATGGAAGTTCTCGTTCTGATTCTTGTGGCCGGCCTACGCCATGCCCTTTATTCCAGCCAGGATGCCATGGTGTCAGGCAATTGGAGCTCAGTCTGGTCCTGCTGCACGTAGGCATTTTCCTCTTGTCGCATGATCCTCTTAGCTGGATCCTGGGCTGAAAGCTGGGCGTGCCGAACCCCCCCCCCCCCCGGGACGCGCGCTCGAATCGCGCGCAGGCGCGCAACATGGCGTTTGTGATACAAGCATGTGGCCGCAAAAAAACTCAGCGAAGCCACTGCTCTGCACGTTGCTACACGCGCGTGCAAGTCAAAAGGTAAGTTGGGCGTCAGGACTTCTGCAAGCCAAGCTTCCATAGGGAAATCCCACAATTCGCCGTCAGCACTCCTCAGCTCGAAGCGTACTGGCCGAAGCAAGCTAGAAAATATTGTGTTGTCCAAACTGAGCATAGTCAGCAGTACTACTCTGGAACGTTTAGCATGCACCTGTTCAAAAGCAAGCAAATTTAACATGCAGCCCCATATCGCAAGGTGCCAAGTGGCAGTTGCACGGCGTGCGTTGCCGCCTCTGCTACCGCCAAAAGCGAAAGCAGCCATATCTTCACCTGAAACGGAACGGCGACATGCTCCTTCACTTCCCAGGAAATGCACCCAGCCGAAGAAGCGCAATCCGGTTCGCTGTGAAAGGTCATGCATGCACAAATCAGAACCTTAGCACGAAGCTTGATGATTCATATCCGACTTTATCTCGGTTGACTCATCAAACCATCGGTTAACTCAAACCATGAGGACCAGGCTTCTCAAGCCATGCGTTTGTCAGACCACTGTAGACGAACCAAACCCAACTGACTCCAATTCATGCAGCCCAAGGTGCCATGGAAATTGGCCAGCCGCAGCGGCCGAGGCCTCGGCTGGAGCGGTTCTTCACCTCACACCTTGTGATACTGTGGATGGACGAAAATCCGTTTCGCACCACCTAAGAAACCCTGCAATTTGATGATCTCCCTGCAAATGGCAGCAAAGAGTGGTTGCCCATGGTTTCCAAGTGCAGGATTTCGGCCATGCACAGCAGTGGAGGCAAGCAAGGAAAGCACATGACAAGCTTGGAGCCAAAGCGGCGGGGCGGATGGCCATATTTGCAGCTGGGCTGCTGGATATGAAGGCCGTAGTTTGCAAATCGACGGACCCGGGGATCACATGGCCCCCTTTTGAGCCAACGTCCGAAAGCCGAAAGCAGCCCGCCCGTTGCAAGTGGCGACCATGGGTTGACGTCAAAAGGACGTCAAAAGGAATGATGTATGTCATGGTACGTCAAGCTTTTGCAGCAACCTGGCATTCAAGAAACCGACATGCCAAAGCGACCAAAATAAAACTTGGCCCCAACAATCGCAACTCGGTGCCCTCTCGCGATTCAGATCTAAACTTGGTTGCTGTTGACCCCCCTGCAAACAGTTTAACTTTTTGGGGGTTTAGTGGAAAACCCCTCGATTTCCAAAAATATCCAACCCAATAGCAGTCAAATACAAAGCTAAGGAACCACCAAGCACTTACTGCTGCTCAGTGAGAAAGAAGCTTTCCAACGAGCTGAAGCTGCAGCAAGGCTGAAGCTCTCAACGCCCAACCGAAGGCCTGCAGAGCCACCCTTTGCTTGTGCTACGCGTTCCACTGCGGCCTCGGCAGGCAATGTAGATGCGAGGCATCCCGCCAAAGGTCACACAAAATGTCCCACTAAAATCCCCTAAACTCACCAAAAAAAATGCTGCTTTTCTTGGGGACCCCCCAGTAGTAGGGTCCGGGATGAATGAGGGT